GTTTGCGATGGGAATAGTATTGATGTAAACACGAGTTCGGGTTCAGTGAGGGGTCAGACACTCCATGTCTTGAATCGCAAAATACATCAATTCTTGAATATACCCTACGCTGAGCCCCCTTTAGGCCTACTTAGGTTCGCACCTCCCCTACCACTCAACGCACCCAAACAGGTATGCATTGAAAATATTGTATTAATTATTTAATTTACACTAATGTTTATAAACATAATGTCAGGATATAATAGATGGCACGAAATTAGGTTATAGTTGTATTCAACGCATTCAAGTTGGGGTTAATACTAACGAAGATTGTCTTGTATTGAATATATGGACAACAAATGTGGACTATAGCGATGATAGTCCGTCGCTAACGGTTCTCAAACCAGTGATGGTTTATATATATGGTGGAGGATTGAGTTTGGGCTCAATATTTAATGATCACTACAACGCGAGTGTTTTGGCCACCAATGATGTGGTTGTGGTGTCCGTTAATTATAGAGTCGGGCCGTTGGGCTTCCTATACGGCGCCGATCGGACAGCGCCCGGAAATGCGGGCTTTTATGACCAGTTATTGGCACTCAAATGGGTATTCATATATAATTGTAATTTTAATTTGTACAGTAGTTATTATGTGACTTAATGATAGGTTAGGGAAAACATTCACGCATTTGGCGGAGATAGGGATCAGATGACAATCTTTGGCCAGAGCGCCGGCAGTTGGTCGGTGTCCGCACACATACTCTCCCCGCTATCCAAAGGCTTATTCAAAAGGGCTATTATGCAAAGCGGTGCCCATATGTACAACAGAGACCGACCGGTGCTCAGCACTGTTGAGGCCCTGCAAAAAGCTAAACAATTGGCCAAACGGTTGAATTGCGATCAATACGACTATAAATGGTTAGACTGTTTGCGGGCAATACAAGACACGAATCTATTTATAGAGGTTACAGAAAACGGAAATTTATTTATAATTACACATCCGGTGTTTGGGACTGAATTTTTACCTATTTTACCTCAAAAAGCTCTTGAATTGGGGTTATATAATTCTGGTATGGATAGTTTCAGATGCATTAATTAATCAATTAATTTCAACCCAGGCATATGTTTTACAGACATTGAACTAATAGCCGGTGTGACCACAAATGAGGGCACAACACTCGGGCACGGATTAGTGCCGGAAATGCGGGCACAACTCACGGAACCGTTGTTCCGGAAAGCGGTACACGATTTGGGTAATGATTACCATAATATAGATGTGGACAAAGTGTGCGATCATTATCTCAAAGATGTTCACACAACTAATTCATCGCAACTGAAAACAGCGTTTCGGCTACTTTTGGGTGACTTAGGGATCACTTGTCCCGCATATCATTTTGCCAAGAATTTGGCCGCAAATGGACATAGAGTTTATTTTTATCAGCTTAGTTTTCAATGCAAACTATTTGATAGTTTAAGGGGCTGTATGCCGGGGCACGTGTGTCACGGAGCGGACTTACAATTGTGTTTTGGTCACCCCCTCAGACAACAGACACTTTTTTCTGAAACGGAATACGATTTCTCCATTGATGTGATGAAAATGTGGACTAATTTTGCAAAGACTGGGTATATTAATTGTTTTATTTAATTAATTATTATAATTAATTCAAATGTTTTACTTGAATTAGTTAATAAGCAATCGATATTATTTATAATTAATAGTAAAGCAGATGACGTTTGGCCACAATTTTGGGACAAATCAGTGATTAGAGTGAAAGACTTAAACCCTAATGATATGTCACTTATTCTCGAGAATCCATACGAGAGTACATGTGATGGCATTTGGAGTCAATATTTCTTATTAATTTTTAATTAAGAAACTATCAAATAATTAATTTGTAATTAGATAAATTAATTAGTATGATACGTTGAAATTAATTTGTTGTTATTTTGGCTTGTAAAATTAAGTAAATATAAATAGTTTAATTTGAAATGGTTTTAAAAGTTTGTTATTTTAATCAATTATAATAAAGTGTTTATACTATTATAATTAAATATACAATCTTATAATGACTTAACAAATTAAGTGAATATTAAATATTATAATTAATCAAATCATTTGTTGAAATGCAATGTCATATAAATCACAAAACGTGTTATTGAGTCGAGAGCCGAGTGACGTTTGTTTTGAATTTAATACCATATGTTGTCCGCCGGACTCTGAACTATATTTTGGCCAATTTATGCCCATTTGTGGCAACATTTTGCTAATAAACACAAACAATATAAAATTAATATAAAGGTATTACAGTAATAAAATTAAATTACTAATAAAGGTATTACTAATAATAAACTATCATTTAGTTTATAAATAAATAAAATATAATAATGCTGAATTTACATTGAATATAATCTAATTAAAAAAATGTTTGTTCATTAGTAATGAATCAATACTAATTGGTCAGGTAATACATAAAATTAGCACATATTCTTACCCAGTTGTGGCAAAATGTGTCCACGTTTTGATCAATTGTAGACTAAAAACTCGGTGCTCGACGTCGTAGTCGTTGGGATAACGGAGCGGAAGACCAAACACGTACTGAACCTCTTCGAAGTGTGAACTGCCGACCCATTCGGGCAAACGCCCCGACCGTTGGGTAAAGTAATACATGTAAACATCCGTACCGTTTGGCCACTCCTGGAGGGCGTCGGCAAACACAACGACCGGGCATTTGAATAGGAAATCGCCAATAATTGTGGTCAAACGTTGTCGTAACTCAACGGCGCTGATGTTAGCACCGGTGGTCGGCTTTATGCCAATAATCTGGTCGAGGATACGGTCGCTAACTTCCGGCAAACCGGTGGCCATTTCCCGGAGTATTTGGCGGACATCTGCGGCAGTGATGTTGGGATCGGTGTCTAACGAGAACTGTTTTGGCCGTATTTGGTGCAGGAATAGTGTGCCCTCATCTGCGTTGCCCCCTATAAACACAGCCCACAATCAGTACACAAATAATTAATTTTGTTAAATTTTTATTTTAAATAATGTAGATTATGTTATTTATTATGTGTTTCAACTCTGAGAAGATTTCAAACTATAAGATTGTAAAAATGCTGACAATAGTAAAAATAAAATATACCAATACATAATAAGAGTATTATAACATATTTCCAGAATCCACATGGAAAATTAAAACTTAATCATTTATGTAGTTATATTATATATAATATACTAATTAGTAATTACAGTATGTAAGATATAATAATAAGAGTTGTTATATTAAATCTAAACTATAATTTGTTTTTTTTAATTTATAAATTATAATAAACTAATAGTTTAATGAATACAAACCTAACAATATTTGTTTCTGTCCGAGCGGTTCGTCAACAATATTTGGGTTAAACGCATCGCGAGGGAAATCTGGTAACACTACCGACGGTATGGATGGGGAGAAACTGACAAATGAATTGTTCATCAATACGTTGTGCACACTATTCAGCTCATGAGTGGACAGTCGACGTAAGCACCGGATCTGTTCACCGACCGACTCGTTATAGTGATCACAATATGTCAATTGTAGGACACGTTTAAAACTCGGAGCCGACATCTGGTAGAAGAAGTTCATTTGCATCGGACTCGAGCTCTCCAGTATAGCCCTATGGAATAGATGGCTGGCTAGCGGTGAGGCCATCAAAAGGCCGACTGATATGGCACCGGCCGACTGTCCCATTAGTGTCACACTGTTTGGATCGCCTGAGTTTATTAATTAATTTTTATATATAAATTGTAATATAATAATTAATTACTAATTTACTTAAATAATATGCTTTTATCTACATTATTATTGGGTGTATGTACAAAAAGTGTTATTTAATAATTAAAAGTTTAATAAATAGTTTTATAAGTAAGTATTTTGTGCTTGTTTTAGATAATTGGGTAATTTGGATTTAAAATATAAGTTTGAAAATATGTTGTACATTATTAAATTAAATTTATTTTCTTATCTTAATGATTTAATAGTTCTCTCTCTCTCTCTCTCTCTCTCTCTCTCCCTCTCTCTCTCTCTCTCCAAACTGTAATCTATTATTTGAAATAACAAGTTTACAATTAATAAACAGAAAATTATGTAATATTGGAAGCACAATAAAGGGCATTAATTTTAAATATTTTACATTAGATACATCTCAAACACTTACCACCAAATTGTCTAATATTATCCCTAATCCATGTCAATGCCATAATTATGTCATATAATCCCAAATTCTGGGGCACATCCTTCTCATCATTCGTCGCGGCCGACACTTCCTCATTTTCATCGCCGTCCCCCTCATTGCTATCACTGCCACCCCTTTCGCCACCACTGGTATCGGCGAACCCAAACACACCCAATCGGTAATTGACTGTAACAAACACCACGTGACCGGCACCGGACACTACACCCCCGTTAAATATGTCAAAACTAGTGCCCATATACACAAATACACCGCCGTGTATATACACTATAACCGGTGCTAATGATTTATTATGGTTATCTGCATCAATTGTCTCGTAAGTGTTGGCCACTACTGGTGTCCATATGTTTAGATACAGACAGTCTTCGGTAGTGTTGTGATTGAGAATTGGCGTCAAATACTCGTATTGTTTGAGATTTATTTGCGTACAAAACGGCGGCCATTCGGTCGCCGATCGCACCCCTAACCAACGGTCGGCCAGTAGCTGGGGTTGTTTGAAACGTAACTAGATCATTTAAAATACAAAACAATTGGACATAATATATTAAAATAATTTTTACTAACGAAATATGACTAAATATAACATATTAATGGATTGTAAAGTATTTTTAAATTGGCCCTTCCAATTTATTTATCTTTAAACTTTTAATTTTAAACATATATTAATCGGTAAAAATATGTGTTACAGTTTGTAGAGAGATTATGAATGAATATTAATTAGCATATTTACATTGCCGATTGGTG